CGCCATGAAAACTTGCCGTTAGACTTGTTCCCAGTAGACAGGTCAGCACAGCACAGCCATTATCATAGTCCACAGTCACCTGGCTGACCGTATGAAAGAAGGCCACTTTGCAGAGAGCATGATGGGAAGATGGAGTTACCAAGGTGGGGTAGCACACCTGTTCAGAACAGGTGTGCTGGGTCCTGCAGCTCTTTCTACTATAAGGAAGGCTCATTTGACTCCCCTGGAGGGATGTCACTGGGCCTGGCCCACCCAAGGGACAATTGGGTAGGGTAGTCTGAACAGAGCTGAAAGCTAGCCCCACTGAGCCCAACCATAGTGCCTGACCAATCCTTTCGGTGGTCCATATTACTCCGGCACAGTTCTGGTGTTCAGTGTCCTCATGGTGACACAGCAGTGGTCTGGGGAAGGATCACGTGCTAAGCCTCTCTGAGCATCTTATTAAAACTAGTGACGTCACGCCAGGGAGGTAGGAACCCCATGTTCCCCGACTGTCCCGGTCATGGCCATGTGGCAGAATGCCAGGTTCTTAGATGTCCCTGAAAAAAGGACCAGTTATCTGTCTTTGGGAATTTGTCCCGAAAGCAAGTTCTAGATAGGCACACGATGTCTCTGGGTTTCTGTGTGACAGGGGCCTGGCAGGAATGAGCTCTCACCGGACCCTCAGCATCAGCCCCCGTCGTCAGGCTGGGTCAGAGAGCTAGGCCTGTGTGAAGAAGGAAGAGGACCATAGGGGTAAACCCCAGAGGGCAGGGCAGCAAGGGGCGGGGTGGGGGGCATCAGGCTGCACTTCACCGTGATGCCAGTACAGGGAGACAGCTCATGGTTAGGGACCCTTTGAAAAGAAGAGGGAATCCCGGAAGGCACAAGAAGCACCCGCCCTGGAATTTTGCCCCTGCTTATTTCTCATGAGGAGATGGCGCCACCTGCTGTTCATTTCTTACAGTTCATGTTAGAACTACAGAAAAACATTTCACCAGGCAACAAGCATCCAGGTCCGGATGAGTGGACCCTAGTCCAGACCCTTAGACCTCAGTTTAGGGGAGATGGGTTGTTCTCGTTGAGAGCTGAACTAATTATCTTTTCCTAGTTACACAAACAATAGGGCTTTAGGAAATGGACTTCAGAAAAGTGAAGGGTAAAGTCACTTCCAGCCCCATCCCAGGCAGCTTTGGGGTCTCTGAACGCATCCCCTGCACACCAAGACTGTGTGGCCCCCAGAGAATCAGATAATGGACGTGCTGGTTCGGAGCTCCCAGCCCCCAGGGTGTGGTTCCAGTCCTGCCTCTGCCTCGTCCTAACTTTGCTTGCTTCCCTCCTGTGATGTGTGGCGAAATCCGCTGCAAGTCTCAAGAGTTAACTCTGGCTGGGCGGTGGTGGCACACGCCTTTAATCCCAGCACTCCGGAGGTAGAGGCAGGCGGATCTTTGTGAGTTCGAGGCCAGCCTGGCCTACAAGAGCTAATTCCAGGACAGGCTCCAAAGCTACAGAGAAACCCTGTCTCAAAAAACAAAAACAAAAAAAGTTAACTCTGAAGAACCCAGGCGCAGAGAGGGTAAGCCCTGCCTGAGGTCACACAGCTAGAACAACACACTGCACACACAATCCCCCCCCCACACACAAGGTGGTGTGTGACTCTGACTCCGAATTCTTCAGCCACTCAATGTTCTCTGTGTTCTGACAAGTTGCTGTGGCTTCCAGTTGGCCTGCAGGCCCAGCTTGTGGTCAGGAGATGAGCAGGTCAGGGTTCCCCTGGGAACAGCCTTTTTCCATTCCACAGGGCCAGGATCCAGGGCTCCAGCCAATTCTGGCCCGAGACCCTGATCCGGAAAACTGCTCCTACCGGTGGGATTGTCCAACCTGCAGGTGGGAGCGATGTTGGAGTTGCCCACAGCTCAGCGCCTCAAGACCAGCGCTTAGCGCTTCCAACCACCAAAGTATGGCACATCCACACCACACAGGCGCGTGTCGGCTCCCATTGCAACCGTCGTGATTTATGGCCCTGGAAAATAAAGGGCTCCATTCACAGGAGGCAGCCCTGCCTGTTGAGGAAAAGAGCGCAGCTCCTCACTTAAGTCTGCTTGTCTGCACATCTCTGCGGTTCCCAGTAAAAGCCTTGGGTGACCCAGAAGATGGATGGAAGGATCCAGGATCCTTGGGACCTGCACTGTTGCCCATAGGAGCACCAGAGCACCAGAGATGCAGGGGCCACAACCTAGAGGTGAGAAGGTTGAAGGATGCAGGATGGACCCAGCACGGTGGGTGACCCTGACACCCATGCCACAGACCCCAAGTCCATTTATCCTCTGCTGTGGGAAGAGCGAAGTCACCTCACAGGGGAGGGCTGATTTTCTCTCCTGACAAATGGCCCCGACTTGAGGCATCTTGAGGGGGTAAAGAGCAACTTGGCTGCGCTCCTGGGACCTCAGTTGGCCGAGGAACCCATATCTGCAATGATGATCATGACGGTTATGGTAAACCCTCTATCTACTCTTAATTGCTGCTCTTCAGTGGAAGTATTGGCCTATACTTTAACACATGTTTTACATGTGTCTATCATTATCTGTGACAATAAGCGAAACTGCGTGATCGGTTACTGAGGAAGCAAACGCCTGCCCCAAGTTTAGTGGCTCAAAACATTAAAGTCATCTCACTCATGAAGTTCCGGGGATGCTTCAGTGGGACCAGTGAGGGCTCCTCCCCCAGCCCGGGATCCCTTCCAAAATGACACACCATCCCAACAGTGCTGGAATGTGTGGTCCTCTCCACAGGGCAGCCCAGCATCACCACTGCGTGGAGCTGGTCCCCAGGTGACTAGTCAAACGTAGCGTGACTTTAGCCAGTTTTGGGAGGTTTCTGGTGGGGAGAGCTGAAGGACTTCCTGGGAAGATGCACCAAGCTCCCTGGGCACTTCCAGTCCTTGGGAGAATAGAAGAGAGCTCTCCTTTATTCCCCAACTGCAGGAAAAGGGAGTTCAGAATTTAAGAAAGGCCAAGGGGATAGACTAAAGAGTGCTGAGGACCACGCACTGGGTGTCACCTACATGTCAGCCCTTATACATGGGTCCTATCAAAGATCTGCTTTTCAGAAAGGCTCTGATATTTTGAAATTTGAAGCTGAGTGTGGTGGGAGACAGAGAGAGGCAGGTAGATCTCTGAGTTTGAGGTTAGCCTGGTCTATATAGCAGTTCTAGGCCAGTCAGTGCTATGCAGAGACCCTGTCTCAAAACAAAACAAAACCAGAGCCAGGGGCAGTGACACGCCTTCAATCCCAGCATCCTGGAAGCAGAGGAAGATGCATCTCATGAGTTTGAGGCCTAAACTGGGGAAATGTCCCCACCAGACTGGCCTGTGGGCAAGTTTCTGGTGCATTTTGATTGATGACTGATGGGGCGGGGGGGGGGGCACTCTGGGCAGTGCCAGCCTAGATTGCTCGTTCTGGGTTCTACAAGCAGGTTTAGCAACCATGAGGGTAAGCCAGTGAGCAATCCTCCTCCATGGTTTCTGCACCAGCTCCTGAATTCCTTTGATGACAGACCACGACATGGAAGTGAGGTGAAACGGCCCCTTTCTTCCCCAAGCTGCTTTTGGCTATGGTGCCTTATTACAGCACAGAACCCTGAACTAAGATGAGCCCTAGGCTCAGCTACCTCTTCTCTGGTATTCTATCCTTCAAGCCACCATCTCACTCCTCGAGATGATGACTGAGGCTGCTCTGGCCTCTCCTCTTGGGGCATCCTAACTTCTGTATTAAGTGTGGCTTCACTATGCCTGCAGGACAGGAGGAGATGCCACCAGCATCACCTGGAAATTCGGACCTCGTAACCTCAAACCTCATCTCCAAGGCAGGGCCTAGAATCACCTAGAAACCAGCACTGAGAGGTCTGCCACTGCCTTTTGGCTCCTCTGCCAGCCTTCATCCCGTTCCCATGAGTGTGCATGTGGAGCAGTCCAGAGGTCAACCTCTGCTGTTCTCTGCTCTTGCTGCTGACAGTTCCCAAGTATTTGCTTGCTGCTCAGTTCCCTGAGGAGCTTCTGCTAGGATCTGGTTGGACATGCTGGAACTGAGGAATCTCTCTGGAATCTGCAACCACTTTCTGTAAAACTCATTTCACCTACAGGAGTCTGAGCTGCCCATCAGTCATGGCCCCAACTACTTCTGAGTTTTGCTGCTGTTGCTGTGTGCTCATACCCAGAGGTCCGATGAGGTCTCAGATCCCCACAGGGTTCTCATCAGAACAGCCAGGTACAGGGCAAGCACACATAGGAAGAGGCCAGTGTGCTGGCTAGTTTTATGTCAACTTGACACAGGCTAGCGTTATCTGAGCGGGAACCTCAACTGAGAAAATGGCTCCAGAATAGTGGGCTGCAGGCAAGTTTGTAGAGCATTTTCTTAGGGATTCATGTGGTAGGGCCCAGACCATCACAGGTGGGGTAATTCCTGGGCTGGAGGTCCTAGATGCTATAAAGAAAGTAGGCTGAAGCCGGGAGGTGGTGGCGCACGCCTTTAATCCCAGCACTTGGGAGGCAGAGGCAGGCGGGTCTCTGTGAGTTCGAGACCAGCCTGGTCTACAAGAGCTAGTTCCAGGACAGGCTCCAAAACCACAGAGAAACCCTGTCTCGAAAAAAAAAAAAAAGAAAGTAGGCAAGTAGGCTGAGCAAGCTGTGAGGAGCAAGCAAGTAAGCAGCACCCCTCATGACCTCTGCACCAGCTCCTGCCTCCAGGTTCCTGCCCTACTTGAGTTCCTACCCTCACTACTTTTGATGATCAAAAGGTCAGTGCAGCTCGAGGCCTGCTTCCCACGGCCACTCTTCATAGCACCTGGGACAACTTGGAAGGGGTGATTACTGAACTAGCACTGAGCGACTACGGCTAGGTCCCTGCAAGGAGTTGTGTGTCACAGGATTGTTTTTCTAGGCCTGCCCTTCTGGGGCAAAGGACAATGGACTGTGGAAGCCCCGCTGGTAAAAACGAGAAACTTCTCAAGCATGCACATTCGATAAATGCTTATTTTGACTTTTTGCGTAGGATCAATGGCACAAGTACCGCATCTTGGCAAGCACAGGCAGCTGCCACCCCCTCTCATTCTCACTGAGGGACAGTGAGGCCCTGAGCCTGTGGAGTTAAAGCTGTGCTGCCTGGGTAGACACTATCACACACGTGCACAAGTCGGGTTCCCATTCTCTGGGTGCAGAGCCCCTTACCCACCCCTGTTCTGCTGGACTGTGGCTCTGCTGCCTGCCCTGGATCCCTGCCCTGGTCTCTTCTCTGTGGGTCTGTGTTCACTTTCTCTCCTATCCTAAATCAGGTCTCCATTCTCTACCTTTTGTCCCTAGACCTTCTGCACCCAGAGGGCATATCACACGGACCTCACAACCAGAGCCAGAACTGGAATGGGTCAGAATGAGTCGGAGTTTGTGGTATCCCGAGAGTTGTGATGTGTTGCTCACCACGCATCCCTATGCATTAGGAAAGTGTGGCCTCTTCCCAGGAGGAGCAGAGCCTAGGCCTCACACAGCAGCAGGCCCCCATCAATAGCAAACTACCACACGTCAGAGACATTCCAACAAGAGACGGCACAACTCTTCCGTTGGGGGCTGCTCACCAGGTCACGTATCCCTCTGCTGCCCCAGTGCCACCCTCAAGGCGTTGGCACCTAGATGTACGCCCTGAAGGCGGGAGGCAGCCTGCTGGGCAGCAGCTGAGTCAGCATAGTGTAGAATGGCCCTGTGCTGTGGCCCCTGCCAGGTAAGCCTCAGGGGCACTGCCCCCAGCTCCTGGAGGACTCTCTTCAGTTCACGCACGCGAGCATTGAAGGGCAGGTTTCCCACGTACACAGTGGCAGCTGGTTGGGTGTCCACCCCGTGCAAGGGGCTATGGGACCCTCCTAGGGAAGCTGCTTGTGACTGCGGTATATCCCGGGGTCTCCTCATGGTGCTTGGAGCTGGGTGCTGGCTGCCAGGCTCAGCTTGAAGAGCGACGTCCTTTCCGGCCCGCTTCTCTCGCTCACGGAGGATCCTGAGCACTGGGATTTTCGTAAGCATCTCACAACTGACCTGAAAAAGACAGTGACCTCAGTTGGAGTCTTGAGGTGACCAGGGGGTAGTCACACCAAGGCCACACCCACACACTCAGGAGGGACTCTGGTAACATACCACACCATATGACTGAAAGGGTGCTGAAGGCCCCAGCTCTGGGGAGATAAGTAAGACTCCATTGCATGTTTAATTTTATTTATTTCTCTGATGCTGGGGGTGAAGCACAGGGCCTCACATGGGCTAGACAAGTCTTCTACCACTGGGCTACAGCCCAGCCATTTCTTTTTATTTGGAGAAAAGGCCTCATCATATTGCCCAGGTTTGCCTGGACATCAAACTTGCCATCCTCCTGCCTCAGCATCCAGAGTGCCCAGATGATAAGCCTGCAACACGAAGCCAGGCCTGGATTCCATTTCTTAATAGAAAATCACCAGCCTGCAGCTCAGCTCCAACCCCATGGCAGCCTAAATGAAATCCTGACACTCTGACGTCCTTCAGACTGTCCCTTCATGTGCCACAGCAAGGGTAGAATGGGCCTCTATCTTTCCAGAGGAAGCAGCTGGGGTTCCTCTGTGGGCCATTCACCCAGAAGAGCACCTGCAGTCAGTGGTGCTAACATGGCCACAGAGGGCAAATCCTTGCCTACCTCCAGGGAAGTGCCTGTGGCCGGGACGGGGTCCTTTACAAGCTCAGGAGCATCTCTTGGGTCACACTGAGGCCTGGCCCTGCACACTGCCAGGCAGGTCTGACACTAAGCACGACTTGTGTAGCGTTCCCTAGCAGTGGGTCACCAGGTTGTTAAATGACAGCTTGCTGAGCTCAGCATCAGCCTGTGGGGCTTTCGCACAGGCCGCCTGTGTTCCTACCAAGTTGGTAAAGTTGCCTGCAAACATCCCAACAACCTGCAGAGGCAGTGGAAGGCAGATCACCATGTGAGCAGTGTGCCTTGGAGGAGAAGCCAGGTGCCTGATCCGTGTGCACAAACACGGCTGGAAGCTGTGGACCATCAGCAGCCAGTGTGCCAGTGGGATGCCTGGACTGAGCTGGCAGATCAGCCTGAACAGCAGAGCCTGCAGGAGGCCAGGAAGCAGACTTGTTCAGTCCTTTCTGACACTTCTCATCCATCAGAGGCAAGTTTTTCTTTAACTTTGGAGGCAGAAAACTGGCAAACAAGCAGTTACTGAGAGAACAGCCATGGCTCCAAGACAGGGTTTCCTGTGTGTATGTGTGTGTGTGTTGGGGGGAGGTGTTGTTTGTTTTTATAGTTGATGCTGCTGGTTTTTTTTTTTTTTTTTTTTTTTTTGAGAGTCTCACTATATAGCACTGGCTATCCTGGAACTCATTATGTAGTCCAGGCTGGCCTCGAACTCACAGAGATCCACCTGCTTCTTCTTCCCGAGTGCTGGGATTTAAGGCCTGCACCACTATGCCCAGCTCAAGGCAGGGTTTCTACAGTGCACACATCAGATCAGCACTCGGTACACACATCAGATCAGCACTCAGGCTCTGGGTTCCTTTCCTATGAAGTCCAGCAGCACAGGAGCTGAGCTGTGAGGATGGCATCTCCTGGTGTTCAGGCTACTATGGAGCCAGGCACCACTCCTCTTGGGAACAGCCTGTTTTGAGTAAGGAGTCATGCCACCCAGCATGGCTTGGCTCACTTCTCCACAAGTCCCAACCACATTGGCTCTGCCATTTCCCCACAGCTTACAATTGGGCTAGCAGAATGGGTTGATGTCGCTGTCCATGCTGAGGGGATTCTGTTTTTACTAGCTGGCAATTAGGAACGGTCATTACGTTCTATCAACGTGCCATGTGAAATGAGAGCTCTACTTGTTAATCAAACAGAAAACAACATCTTTATGCTCCAGCCTCCAAAAATTCCATCCTCCAAAAATTCCAACTCAGATTTGGTACTCAGGTGTCAATTACCTAGAAGTTTGCAATCTTTTGTGGAGGGTGGCAGTGCAGCTTGTAATCCTGGCTACTCGAGAGGCCTAGGCAGTGAACCCTGCCTCCAAAATAAAAATTAGCAAAGGACTGGGAGGCAGCTCATTAGCAGTGCTTGCCCGAGTCACAAGGCTGTAAGTCCAACCCCATAGAACTGTAAAACCAACAAACTATAAAAATGTTCAGGGTGTGTGCCACCCTGAGGAATGACACCCAAGGCTCACCTCTGGCCTCCACACATGCACATATATGAACACAAATGCATGCACGCGCGCGCACACACACACACACACACACACACACACACACGAAAAAACTAGCAAAGGCACCACAGTGAAGTGACCCTACCATGACTGCTTCCTAGGTAATTCTAGGCCTCAGCCTGAAGACATTACTTGGAGCTACACCACTCAAAGTTCCAGGTAGTACTGATGTCCAGCCACACAGGACAGCAGACAATGGCGAGGCCATGTGAGGAACACTGATGGCCACTACAGTAGGCCATGTCAGCCACACTAATAACTCACCTTGGACCAGATGATCCCTGTTGGCTTTGGGCGTGCACAGTCTGTAGCAACAACCCTGGTCGGAGTGATGATGTAGTCAACCGTGAGATCATGGTCCTCTACAAGAGCCTCAGGAATGTCCATGACCTGAACAAGGTAAGGCGCTAAGTAGTCAGGTGACAGCAGGGCCCGGAAGGAACTGAGCAACTGGACGGATGATCTCCAGTGCGTGAGACCCAGGGTCTCATCCATCAACACTGCTCATCGCATGACCCAAGAACAGGTGCTGTGGAATACTGCTTTAACTACGGAAATGTGTTACATTTGTTTATTTGTGGAATATTACTTTAGCTGGGCAAAGATGTGTTACATTTGTTTAAGCTACATTTGTTTAATGATGTAAAGATGTGTTACATTTGTTTAAGCTACATTTGTTTAATGATGTAAAGATGTGTTACATTTATTTATGCTACATTTATTTAATCATGCAAATATGTGTTACTGCTTTACCTTATCTGCCTAAGGCACCTGATTAGTCTAATACAAAGCTGAACAGGCCAACAGCCAGGCAGTACAGGAACAGGCAGCGCTGGTGGGTGGAGAGAATAAGTAGGAGGAGGAATCTAGGCTCAAGAGGACAGAGGAGAGAAAAGAGAGAACAAGGGAGAAAAAGAGAGAGACGCTGGGGCCAACCAACCAGGTAGCCACTAGCCAGACATGGAAGAAGCAGGAAAAATAGGACATAAAGAATGAAAGATAAAAGTCCTGAGGCAAGGGGCTGGAGAGATGGCTCAGTGGTTAAGAGCACTGGCTGCTCTTCCAGAGGTCCTGAGTTCGATTCCCAGCAACCACATGGTGGCTGACAACCATCTGTAATGAGATCTGGCACCCTCCTCTGGCATGCAGACATACATGGAGGCAGAATGTTGTATACTTAATAAATAAATAAATCTTTAAAAAAAAAAAGTCCTGAGGCAAAACATAGATGAAGAGAAAGATGTTAAATTAAATTATAAAAGCTAGTGGGACAAGCATAAGATAAGGCTGAGCATTCATAACTAATAAGTCTCCATGTGCCTGCTATGAATAGGTGTCTCTCTCACCCCTCCCTCTCCCGGAGCTGCTGAGGGGCACCAATGATAGATCTGCAGGACATACCTGGCAGTCATGGACAATGGTGACGACCGGAGTCCCCTTGTGGACAGCTCCCATCGACACCATCATGGCATACTCAAGATCGGCATAGCCTTCTCCCTTCCCAATTCTCCAGCCTAAGAGACAAGGCAGGGCACAGCAGAAGTGGAAAGGATGGGGTCTCAGTGTTCCTGTTGTCCCTAGTGATCCACAAGTGGCCCCGAACACTGAACGTGCACAGTGAGTGCATGGGGTGACCAAGCTTGCACCTGTGTGCTGGCCATGTCACCAAGACACAGTGAAAAGCAGTGACAGTGGCCAGGTGCGGTGGCGTAGCTGCACCAGCACGCAGAGGCTGAGGTGGGAGGGTGGAGAGCTAACATCAAGTTCTGAAATCAAAACCCAAAAGCCATGAAAGGTCGGCAGGTGAGGACAGAGAACAACAGAGTTCTGCTTTGAAGGGCAGGTGTCTCATCTCCTGCCTTAGGAAGAGAAGCCAGAAGCAAAGGGGAGGCCAGGCTCAGCAGGGCTGCATGGTCACAGGCCTGAGACAGGAAGACTAATCTGAGGTCAGCGTGAGATACACAACACTGACTTTAAAGGCATGGGAGAAATTACGGCTCATTACTGGCCTGCTCAAAGTTCAAGCTGGATAATCCCAACATGCGCAGAGGACAGGAAGAGGGGTGCTGGGGCTCCCGTGAGCCCCTGTGACTGTGTCACCTGTCAACTTGACAGAAGCTAGGGTCACCAGGGAGACAGGCCTCCGTGAATGCCTGTGCAGACTATCCAGACTGCATTAGTTGAGGCGCAGGCCTCATGCACTCTTCTGTGGTACCCGGGAGACTCTGGTCTGACTAAAACAGGACAAAGCCTATACAAGTGGCCAGTGAGTGGCTGGGGTCAGGCCTGCAGGGCAGAATGACTAGCAGGGGAAAGTGGACAGGGCAGCCTTCAGAACACCTGGACAGCCTGTCTCTAGCTTACCTTTCTCAGACACAGCAACAGATCCCACCACAACTAAATCCACGAGGACACTGGAGTCCAAGCCCACGGGGACGCTGAAGTTCCGCACGCCCTATAAAGGGAAACGGGGGCTGAGCTGTGGTCTTAGTGCAGTCAGAGTGGACATGACTCCCACGCTACCCTAGAGGCGGCAGTATCCCAGGACAGTCAGTCCAGAAACAATCTGAGAGAGTGTCTTCTACAGTTCTTACCCCAGGAAGAGGGACAGAGGGAACGAACCACACAAAGTCACAGAACACTAATGCCAAAAGAACACCATAGGTAATCAGGTAGGGGGGCCAGGCCCCGTTGAGTCTCAGGAGCTTCAGGTTCCTCATGGCACAGGACACCAAAACGAACGTTAGAAATGGAGGCACAGGACATGGTCAGTACCCGCATGGCCATCGCTTCAGGCAGGGCACTCTCGATTCTGGAAATCTCCCCCCAGTGGACCCACCCATCCTGACGATCAGAGGCCTGGATAGGTGTGAGGGGACTGCCCCTGCGGAGCAGGTCAAAGACCTGGCAAGTCTCTTCTGGGATCAGTGTACGGCCTGGGTCTCCCTGGAGCACGTCACAGTGCATGCCCGAAGCACCCACCATGTTGGAGCCTTACGCTGTCCCTCTCGGTGGCCATGAAAATAGGCTCCTCACTGCCTGAGTTGGGGCCCAGAACTGACCACTGCCCTGTCGCTGAGAATCCTGAGCTGCGGGCTTGGGGTTGGCCAAAACTATGATTTTATCTTACTTTTCATCCTTTTTATTCTTTTTCCATTTTCTTCAGTGCTGGGTAGAATCTGGGGTTTTGTACACGCTGGGGAGAGCTCTAATGAGCTACATTCCACCCCCACCACAATTCCTTCTAATATTTCTTCTGAAATGCAGTCTTGCTATAATGCAAGGCAGGTTCGGATCAGCAATCTCCTCTCCCACCTTCCCCAGCAGCTGGTTTCAGATGTGTCCTCCCCAACTTGCTCCTCTACACACATGTATTTTATCTTTATAGCATACTGTACATGTTTTTGTAAGCCGTAGGCAATTTTTTCAATAAGTTATCAGAAAATAAAAAGTCATTCAACATGTACATATTAGACTCAAGGTGAAATCCCTTTAAAAGGGTAAGTAAAATCACATGGTGTTTATGGTTCTTTTTTTTTTTAAATAATTATTTATTATTTCTGCCTGCATGTGTACCTATACCCCAAAAGAGGGCACCAGATCTCATTATAGATGGTAGTGAGCGACCAGGTGGTTGCTGGGAATTGAACTCAGGACCTCTGGAAGAACAGTCAGTGTTTTAACTGCTGAGCCATCTCTCCAGCTCCGCATTTATGGTTCTTTAAAAAGCTATCAAATGTGATTTAACGTAAGACGCAAATTCTGGTTCTCTAACACATCAATGAATTTACAGACTCTAGTTTAGCTGCAAAGTGTCTGATGACATGCAATCACACTCCTGTCAGGAGTTTACAGCCTGCTCTGCAAAGAGGGTGCATCCAGCCCTCCACTGCTTCACCTAACAGGCGGGAGCAAGCACAGGCGCAGACCAAATCTACCACAAGAGGGCACCAGAGTGCCCCGTGCTGCAGCTCCCCGTTCAGGTATCTAGGGCACAGGCAGAACGGGTGAATACTTTAACAGCGCTCTCGTGGCTCTGTGTAAACGCCATGAATTCTATTCCACGGTGCGATGACTCAGGAGAACAGTCCCCCAGGGTGGACGCTTGTAGCACTCACCTGGGAGGTGGCACATTTCCTCAGTATGTCTTTAGTGGCTCCAGGAGGTGGTGTGATCTTATTAAACAGTCCTGTCCTCAGCCGTGGAGTTGGGACCAGCAGTGTCTTTTTGCTCTTCGCAGGAAAAGACAATTACACAGAGAGTGCGTGTTTTCCCCAGGAACAAAGGGAATCTCAACGAAGGGACACCTGAGCATAGCTGGGCCGCTTCCCCTCTCATGCCTGTTTCCTGAGGGCCACTGAGATTCCCTAGTGTCCTCCCCCACACCAGCAACAGCTCCCTCCCGCTGCTCCCTGCTGTGCTCACTGTGGTGTGGGGTGTCAGTCTAGTTCAATTGCCCTCTCACTGCCTGGGAGGGGAGGTCAACACTCCTGCACTTCCAGGAAGCCTCCTTGAGTCTCAGGGGCCCAGAGTAGGAGCTGCAAGTCACTGCTCTCCTCAGCACAGAGGCCTTAAGCCTCCCTTACCACACAATGTCCTGCGCAGCTGAGGCTTCTGCCGTGTAATGGGACAGCAATGGGGGACCAGCAAGTCACTCCATGGCCTCTGGCAGTCCCAGGCTGATTTCCAAAGCTCCGTGCCTGACATTCAGTGCCAAAGCAGCAGCAGCCTTGGTTCAGCAGAGCTAGGTCAGTCATCACATTGCTTGTGCCACTCAGTGCACGCTGTGGCTCGGCCTGTTCACTTCGTCTGCACTGGTTTTATAGCTGCTTAGAGCTATGAGCATTAAAATACACACCTAGCTCTGGCCTCATACTACATGAGATGATATAAAGTAGTTTGAATGAATGATGGGGGTGCTCTCTTTTCTTTGAGAAGTGGTCTACACATTTGTTTGTTTATGTTTTTTGATTCAGGGTTTCTCTGTGTTGCTCTGGCTGGTCTGGAACTCACTCTGCTCAGTGGGCCGGCTGGCCTTGGACTCACAGAGATCCGCTTGCCCTTCTTTCTTATGCTGGGATTAAAGGTGTGCACCATCACCACCTAATACAGACTCAGATTTCTAACTGAGGAGTTTTTGCTTCAAAGAATTAGAACATTAAAGACAAGTGACAGACGGCTGCTGTGAGCTGCAGTCACCTAGAGACAGGGCATGTGGCATGCGCTCAGCAGTCACCTAGAGACATGGCATGCAGCATGCGCTCAGCTGTCACCTAGAGGGCGCTCCTGACTGAGGGCACCTTGGGAACATGGAGTTACCTGCAGTGCCAGCAACCGGACACCTTCCAGGGGCTTATCAGGGTCCACTTTCACTTCCTGTGTCCCAGCAAAGACGTCCAGGTCTTTGATGCTTTGGCAAGCCAGGTAAGACCCCTAGGTAGGCAAAAACAGTGCTGCACTCACCTCCAGCACGAGGAAGCGGGCGTTTCTCTGAGGAGCATCGGGGTTGACTTTAATGGTTCTCGCCACCCTGAAAGCATGCAGGTGTGGGAAATGCTCCGCAGCACGAGAGGCACCCTGTGTAAACGTGGCTGCATGTCACCTTGGGGACGTGGGCCAAGTACGGCCTAGGCATCACAGCCCTGCATCCACCCAGATAGAGGAGCCCACATTCCCAAAGGAGACACTTCAGAAAGAACACAGGACAGAAAGGAACTAAGCCAGAATTCAAGTTTTTTTGGTTTGTTTTTTGTTTTTTAAAGAGATTTACTTTATGTTCTACTGACTTTATGCCAGAAGAGGGCACCAGATCTCATTACAGAGGGCTGTGAGTCACCATGAGGTTGCTGGGAATTGAACTCAGGACCTCTGGAAGAGCAGCCAGTGCTCTTAACCACTGAGTCTCTCTCCAACCCCAGAACTCAGTTTTTAAGGAAAGAAAATTCTAAAAAGAGTACAGAAGCTGAAGGGTTTCCACAGAAGAGCAGAGCTCACTGTAAGCAGCATCATTTAAGGAGCGGGATGCCTGGAGAGGCCTCTCCTTCGCCTGCTCCCCAGACCCTATGAGCTCATCCTGTGTCCTCTTCCTGTGCCCTCCTACCTCTGCCTTTCCACTGCTGGGATGGCCAGCTTGAACCAGCTCCTGGCTCACACTGCCTCTTTCAGGCAAACTATTTTCCATGCAAACTATTGGCAATAGTCACCTTGGGTTAGGAAACAGGGCCAGGGCTTCTGTCACGTGACGCTTCTCTGGGCACTAAAGGCTGGGCTTCCCTCTAGGGGTTCCATAAGCTCCTCCATAAGTGGCTGAGGGAGGCCAGCTCTGTGAAAAGCCCTGGTAGCAGCTACAGTGCAACCCTCCACCCCCACAGAGGCTGGGCCCCACTGGGTAACAGAAAAGAATGTGTCCAAACACAAAGAGCCCTCCAGGCCCTCTTGGATTCTGCCTCTGCTCACTGCGCCTCAAGGACCAATCCTACCAGAAAGCAGAGGAGCCGTGTTGCTGATGTGATTCTCCCAGGGATAACTTCATCCCCTTCTAACAACCCCAGGAACACCTGCGTACCTTAAAGTTCGGAATCCTGTGATGCACAGGTCGGGGGAAGTCAGCTAAATCACGTGATTCCATATAGTCCCAAATGCGTTCACGGATGCCTTGCTTGGAGACACCTACGGCGACAAAGGACTGTGACTTACTGATAAAAACCAATTCCACAGTGCCTGCGGCCACTGTGCTCTTGTGACAATATCTGCACAGGAGTTTGGGTCCACGCCAGACCAGCTTAAGGTGCCAAGTCTTTCTTCAGGGCAATGGAAATATTAGTTTCCCCTCAAGCTCCCTCACCAGTTGGGAGAAGAGCTCCAAACTTGTGCTAGGAACCAGGAGCATACCGTGAAACCTAGCTGTGAAGTCATTTGCGTTTTCTCTGTGGCGCCAGGGACGCCAGCGTACTTAGCCATCCTCTACTGATAAGCTACACGCCACCTTTTTTGAGGCAAGGTGACACTGTGTTGTTGCACAGATGGGCTTTGAACCTCAAGCGCTCTTGCTTCAGCCTCCCAAGTAGCAAGTTGGGAGTGTGGACCACCAGTTTTGGCTAGAATGCAGTCTTGATTATTTAGGGGTGCAGAGGGTCAAACTCAGGGTTCTGAGTGTGCTAAAGAAGCACTCCATCACTGAGTCACACCCCCAACCTGCCTGGTGTGTAGTATTTTTTTTTTCTTTTTCAAAAGATTTATTACATACGTGTGTCCGCATTTGTTTACGTGTTTATGTGCACCACCAGCAACTGCGGGGTGGGGTGGGGGAGCACGCAGGTGCCAACGGAGGCCAGGGATCAGAGGGCATTGGTCCTTTCTCTTGGAACTGCGAGTTGTGAGCTATCTCATATGCTTGCTGGGACTGATCTCCCGTTCTCTGTAAGAGCAACAAGCGCCCTTCACCACAGACATCTCTCCAGCCCCAGCTTTGGTCCTTTGTAAATTTCGTGGCATTACAACGTTTGCGAGGGCAGATCCCGCCGACGGGCAAGTGGAAGCTTTCCAAACTTTCGCTGCTAGATGCGTACGCTTCCTCGTTTAGAATGCTTTGTATTGCGGGCTGTGAAGGCGCTGCGCGGTGTTCGAGGCTGAACGATCCCTTCCACTCCCCCTACCCACCCACCCTGGCTCAGGCTATTTTAAACGCGTCGAGCCCGGCTGGGTGAGGGCCGGACTGATTCTTCCCTCGCGCTGGCAGCCGGGGCATCATAGCGTAACAGGCCGGGTCGCACCCTCCACACGCCACGTTCGGATCATCAGGACTTTTGGGCAGGTCTAGCCTTGGTTTCCCCCATTGCCCACCGTGCTCCTCACCCGCCAGAGCCTCCATGGCCAACCCACGTCAGAGCGCGACGCCTCTCACGGTGACGTCAAACGCCTGCGCGTCACACTGCGTCTGCGCACTGAGGTTAGATGGGCTCAGGGCACACGCATGCGCAGGCGACGCAGCGGGCGGGGTTCCTGCTTTGGGTCCCAGTTCTTTTCCATGTTTTCGGCTTGATGAACGCTGCAGATGCACCCAACACCTTTATTTATTTATTTTACTATTTATTTGTATAAGTGCTATGTCTTCATGCAGGCTAGAAGAAGGAATCTGATCCCGTTACAGATGGTTGTGAGCCACCATGTGGGTGCTTGGAATTGAACTTAGGGCCTTTAGAAGAGCAGTTATGTGCTCTTAACCGCTGAGCCATCTCTCCAACCCGCCTCAGTGATTTTGAGGCCGCCGCTGGAGCCGCCTTAGAATGAGGATGCCTGGGACACACACACACACACACACACACACACACACACACAACATGTATGCTTTTGTATTACGTGGAACATATATAACACATATAGGGCTGGCAAAATGACCTAGCCGGGAAAGGTGCTTGCTGCCAAGCCTAACAACTTACATTTCATTCCCAGGACCCACTGTAAGAGATGGGTATTGGGTTCAGGATCCCCCAAGACCAAGTTCTCAGCACACAGGAGGTTTATTTGCTACAGGAGGAAAGAATGCTGAGGGGTGGGGGGCGCAGGGATTAAGAGGCAAAGACTGGAGATAAAGGGAGAAGGGGAAGGAAACAAGGGAGGGGGTAGGGATATTTGTGGAGGGGCAGGAGAAACAAAGGATTGCCACTGGATAAAAAGGAGACAGCTGGGGCACAGGAAAATGGTGATTTGTAAGGTACAAGGGGGACTCCATGTTAGGATGAGGTGTTTAATTTTAATTGGGCATGTTAATTAGGTGAACTGAAGGCTAGACCTCTGTGGTCAGCCTTAGGAGGAGGAAGTATCCAAGTGAGGAAATAGACCTTGGCGGCTAGCTTTAGGAATGTAAGCTCACGGTTTTTAGCAAGGCAGAGGGAACTGGAGAGATGGGCAAGCCTGCCAGAGCCGTGTTTGCCTCGCTAGCTAGAGTCCCTTCACACACATAGTTAAAGGAGAAAACCGACTCCCTAGAGTTGTCCTCTGACCTCCACAGACTGTGCTGTATCATGAGTCCATACACATATATCATTAGCGCACATACTAAATATGTGGAACATACATATACATGTATATGCAAGTATGTAGTGTGTTTAGACCATCTTGTGTGTACATCTGTAGAGACATCACTTGAAAGTCGAAGGAAACCTATGTACAGGAGTGGATCTGAGACTGAGGACACCCATTGGGATTTCCAGCTCCCTGTGTCTCAGGACAAAGAACTGTCCTATGGACATGAGGTTAGGCATAGAAATAAAGGCTGTTTATTGAAGAAAGGAAAGAAAACTCCTGAAATGGAGAGGGTGATAAGGTGGAGACAGCCAGAAGCTCAAAAGTGTTGGGCCTGAAGGCTCCTGACTATGAGTCACTTACATAGACCCACTCCCGACTTTGTCCAGGAATCTTTTTTTGAGTGTGTGTGGGGTTCTCTGTGTAACAGCCCTGGCTGTCCGGGAACTCCCTCTGTAGACCAGGTTGGCCTGGAACTCACAGAGTGATGGGATTAGAGGCAAATCAGGTGGCCTCTTTCATAGGGTGTGTCTGTGTGTCCTTGGGCACACCTGTGTTTGTGGAAGTCAGGGGCAGCCTCAGGCTCTTTTCTGTTTTTTTTTTTTTTNGTATCATAATTACTATATAAGCTTTTCATTTACTTATAAAATAGTAAAACTACAAGCCCACATCTGTGAAAATCAAGAGTGAGGCGGAACAGTAGTGGCAAACACCTTTAATCCCATCACTCTGGAGACAGAGGCGCGAGGATCTCCGTGAGTTCAAGGCCAGCCTGGTCTATAAGAGCTAGTTCTAGGACAGACTCTAAAGTTACAGAGAAATCTTGTCTTGACAAAAAAAAAAAACAAAAAAAAAAAAAATTATCACTCCCACACTCCTAGTTTTCTGCTAAAAAAAAAAAAAAAAAAAAAAAAAAAAACCAAACAAACAAAAAAAAACAGTTCTGACTGTCCTGGGGCTCACTCTGTAGACCAGGCTGCCTTCAAACTCACTGAGATCTGCCTGCCTCTGCCTCCCTGAGTGCTGGGATTAAAGGCGTGTGTCACTACTACCTGGCACTTTTTCTTCTTTAGTTACTATAGCTATACATGCTGGCTTCTTGCTGCATGTTTAAAGGTGGCAAAAAAAAAATCCCCCAAATTGGCTGGTTCCCAATGCAGGGAGGAGTGGAGGGGCCTTAAGAGGTGACCAAAGCTGCTCTGGGTTTGCCTGTCCTCATGTACCCTGTGTTTGGAGCATCTGAGTGGCTAGGGATGTCAGGTCAGGTTTGTGGTAGCTGCCCAGCTTCCACCCCAGCCTCTGATGGAGGGTTCTGGTGTGGTTTTTTGTTTGTTTGTAGCTGAACTTCATTTGCACCTTGATGAAATTAGGCCCCCGTGAACCCTCTTTGTGACATGTGACCTCAAGGCTGCCCTCTCCACTGATTTGTTAGCACTCTGCTCCTGCTGCCTACGGATCACCAGAACACAGAACAGTGCACTGTTTTTTTTTTTTGTTTTTTTGTTTTTTGTTTTTTAATTTTGGAGACAGGTACGTACTGTGCATCCCAGGAAGCTAGCCTTTTTTTTTTAAAAAAATTATTTATTTATCATTATACAGTGTTCGGTCTGCATGCCAGAAGAGGGAACCAGATCAAATTACAGATGGTTGTGAGCCACCATATGGTTGCTGGGAATTGAACTGAGGACCTCTGGAAGAGCAGCCAGTGCTCTTAACCTCTGAGCCATCTCTCCAGCCCCGGAAGCTGGCCTTGAAATCACAGATCCACTTGTCGCTGCCTCCTGAGTGTGAGTGCCAGGATCAAAGGTGTGCACCGCTTCACCTGGCAGGATTCAATTTTTACTGGTTATTGTTTCTGAAGTTTTAGGTTCACAGAAGAAGTCACAGAGAGTCCCATACTCTCCTTCTCTCCTGGTAGCAGAGCCTTCCCCAAGGTCACACCTCTGCCTGAGTGGGAAAGCTGTCACAAGATCAGCACAGTCAACTCTCTGTCAGTTGTCACCCTGGTACACAGCATTCCTGGTGGGGTAATACAGTTTCCTGTGAAAGATGGGAGTAGGGGAGGGGACAGTATTTCAGGGATGGGAAATGGGAACAAATTTGGCTCCAGCAGAGAAGTGTTGTGGCTGAGAGCTGAGAGTATGCCTGGACTGTGGCATGAATCAGGGTCACTGTTGCTCACGGAAGATCACCAATAGGGAAGCTGCCAAGTCACAGCTAGAGGGTGTACAGCAGTGTTCAGGCAGGTGGGGGGGCAGGGAAGCAGAAAGTCGGGAGAAAGGAGGAAGAGAGTAGTGGAGTTAGGAGGCTGATAGACTAAGGGGTGTCACTATGCAGCTTGACTGATGGCAGCGAAAACGTCCAGGAATCTCCATGGTGTCTCCGGATTCCTGGTCTTGCCAAAATGTACAGTCTCCCATGATGGCTGCTGAAGAGTCCAGAAGAAGAAAACCATGAAGAGCAGAACAGGGGGATGGAGAGCCCAAGAGAACATCCTAGTGTCTCAGGAGCTTGGCAAGACTTAGTGCTTTCTCTCCTCCTCCTCCTTCCTCCTCTTCTTCCTTTTCTTCCTTTGAGACAAGACCTCTCTACATAGTCCTTGCTATTCTGGAACTCACTAAGTAGACTAGGCTGGACTTAAACTCAGATCCATTGTACCAGGTTTTCTTTTGGGCCACCAATCAGCTCCCAAATCCTGATATGGAGACATATGAGTTATGAATGCCTGACTTTAGCTTAGACTTACTTCTTGCTGACTCTTATAACTTAACCTGTTTCTCTTCATCTACGTCTTGCCTTGGGGACTTTTACCTTCCTTTACTTCTGTATCTGACTTTCACTGCTTCTCCAGTCTGGCTAATAATGGCTGTCTGGCTACCCCCAGGAGTCTCCCTCTCCTCTCTGGAACCTAGATTCCTATCTATTCCTTCTGCCTGCCAGCCCGACCTATTCCTCTCCTACCTAGCTGTTGGCTGGTCAGCTTTTTATTAGGCCAATTAGGTGCCTTAGGCAGGGAAGGTGAAACAAATGCAATACATCTTTACTTAATTAAACAAATGCAGCAGGAACAAATGTAACACACCTTACATTGTTAATGGAATGCAGCAGAAAGAAAAGTAACAAACCTTTATACAGTTAAGGTAATATTCCACAGCATAAACAAATGTAACACATCTTTTAAGTATTCCGTAACAATTCATCTGATTCTGCCTCCCAAGTGCTGGAATTGAAGGTGTGTGCCATCATGCCTGGCTACTGTTTCCTTTTCTGCCCCTCCTCCTCTGGTCTTCCTCTTTGTCCTCCTTCTTCTCCCTCTTTTTCTCCTTTCCTTCTGCCTCTTCCTGCTCCTTTAGATGTTTTAAGACAGGGTCTTACTCTCTGTTCTGGCTTTGAATTCACAATGTTCCTGCCTCAGCCTCCCATGCTCCCAAGTGCTAGGATTGTTACAGGCCTGTGTTACCACACCTCAGCTGGTGTTTTCTTTTCCTCTGTGTGTGTGTGTGTGTGTGTGTGTGTGTGTGTGTGTTGGGATGGTGTTTACTATGTAAGCACACATAAGGACGCTGTTGTCACCCTCATAAGTCATCCACCTTGTTTTTTGATCATCCAGAGGAATCTGCCTGTATTTCAAAATCTGCTGGATTTCCAAGGGCCCACTACCACACCCAGATATTTATTTTTATTCTTTAACATGGGTGCTGCTTACAAGGCTAACACTTTACTGACTGAGCCATTTCTTATGCCTTCTAACTTGGACATGTGGCATGAAGGAGGAAATGGTGGTGTCCTGTTTAGTGACCTCTGGTTTCTAG